ACGCTAATATCGTTATCTTTATAGTTATCTTTATAGTTATCGCTCTTGGTGTGAACGGGGCTTAAGGCACACCTGTGCAATAATCATGTTGTCTAATCAGCATCTTGATATGCCTCACCTGTGAGGTGGATGGATTATCTTGGCAAAGGAGAAGTGCTCACTAACACAGATTTAGACAGATTTGTGAACAATATTTGAGAGAAATAGGCCTTTTGTGTACATAGAAAAAGTCTTAGATCTTTGAGTTCAGCTCATGAAAAATGGGGGCAAAAACAAAAGTGTTGCGTTTATAATTTTGTTCAGTGTATATATAAACTAATTCAAAATATTAATACAAACTACAATAGTATCTCAATGATACTAAAATAACACTGGCTTGAATATTCTGTTTTACTCAGAAATAAGTCACATTAAATGTAAAATGTAATGTATATGTAACAGTTATTGAGTGTGTGCTTCTCCACGGTTTCTACCTCTTGTACAGCAGGATGGCGATGACGATGCAGATGATGAAGATGACGGCCAGCACAGGCCCCACGACCCAGATCAGACCCTCCTCTTCATCGATTATGGGCTGCGGGTCGATATCGGCAAACATCACTGAATCAGAGTACGGACTTGCCGCGTACAACATCTGCAAGAAAATCCACCACAACATGTTTGATGTGTCTCTGGGTTTGTATAAAGAGCAGAAACTGTATTTAAAGTAATGTGTTTTCAATGGGCCGAGTGCAGCAGAAACGTGCAGCTCGTAGTTTTTTTAAAGCACTTGCATGAATTATCCATGAGAACAAAAGAGTTATTTGATCTGTAAAGTGTCTAAATCATCCCTTTCAGGTGGAACTACTACAAAACCGCTTCACGTTCACATGCATTAAACTATCCTTGCATAGATCTCACAAGTAATTGTATACACGTAATGATATGTTTCAGACTAATGCAGGGAACGTTTCCTTGCAATCAATGGCAGCGTATTATTATTCAAGCACACAGTCAAACAGCCTCGACATGCTGGAAACAATTAACGGAAACAATTAAACGGAACTATATAAATACGATCATATAAAAACACTGTCAGCGGTCTGAAATCCTGTTATGACTCTGATTAATGTAATATTCATCAGTGTGTGTTGGGCTGTGTTCAGTGATGAGAGTTAAGAACTACATTCAGTGATTAGCATCTAATTTACTCTGAAATCATCAGCACAAGCAGATAAACGCACACGGTTTTCAGGCTTTATATTCAGAGACATAAACTGGCATAAAGTTCAAAAGTTTGGCGTTGTTTTTGAAAGAAGTCTCTTCTGCTCACCAAAGCTGCATTTATTTGATTAGTAATACAGTAAAAACAGTGAAATATTATTACAATCTAAAACAGCTGTTTTCTATGTGAATATGTGTTAAACTGTAATGTATTTCTGTGATGCGCAGCTGTATTTTCAGCATCATTACTGCAGTCTTCAGTGTCACATGATCTTCAGAAATCATTCTAATATGCTGATTTGCTGCTCGAGAAACATTTCTGATTATTATCAATGTTGAAAACAGTCATGCTGCACAATATTTTTGTGGAAACCGTGTTAGTTAATTTTTCCGGATTCAAAGATGAATAGAAAGTTCAAAAGAACAGCATTTATTTGAAATAGAAATCTTTTGTAACATTATGTCTATACTGTCACTTTTGATCAATTTAATGCATCCTTGCTAAATAAAAGTACTGATTTCCTTGAATGTGTTTCATTACTGAACTGCTTAATGTAATTTTCACATGAGAGTGATGAAAAACATGGAGGAAATTGAATGTGTGTCGCATTAGCGTGATTTAAGCAGTAATATGAGGTTCGGTCATCGAGTCCAGCTCTACTGTGTGTTTCTCTGTGTTTCCAGCGCTGATGGTGACCTGCAGCTCACTGAATACTGTCTCACTGCTCACAGAGCTAATCATTCCTCTCTGTGTGTGTGTGTGTGTGTGTGTCTGTCTGTCTGTCTGTGAGTGTGTCTGTCTCTCTGCAGTGCAGTTGATAAGACTCTGTTGTTATTAAAGGGAAGGCGTTTATCTCACAGTCCCACCGCTGACAGCTCTTCAGGCAGACTGAAGGACAAACGGAAAGACAGATGGACGGACAGAGAGAGACGGACAGACAGACTGACAGACAGACAGACAAAGAAAAGGACAGACAGAGATACGGACAGACAGACTGACAGACAGAGAGACAGACAGAGAGACAGACAGACAGACAAAGAAAAGGACAGACAGAGATACGGACAGACAGACTGACAGACAGAGAGACAGACAGAGAGACAGACAGACAGACAGACAGACAGAACGACAAAAGGACAGACAGACAGACAGACAGGCAGACATGCCACTTGTATTCCAGCAGGACTGTGTGCTGATAGCATTCAGTCTCTCACTCTGACTGCGTCACATGGTTGATTCAGATGATTCGGACCCAAGCAAAAATGTAAACATTCATAAAGCAAGAAAGATTAATTTGACAAGATAAATTCTGTACATTAATAAGCATGGTGTTCAGGGAATATGTCTTGAATTAAGCTTAAGTTTACCTAGTTAAAATTACTGTGGTTTATGCTTTAA